TTTCAACTGCACGGCTGGAGGGTTCTTTCCCGAAAACATTAGTGTGAAATGGTTCAAGGACAAGACCTCCATCTCATCTCAGCTGCCCCAGGTCACTGAATGGCGGGAGAAATCCTACAACATGTCCAGCAGTGTGACAGTGGTCCTAGAGGAGGGTGACGTCCTCTCACAGCTCATCTGTGAGGTGCAGCACTTGGCGTCATCGAGCTCGCTGAAGGGGATGTACCAGCTCAGCAGAGTCCTGAGAGGTGAGGGCTGGGGCATTTGTGCTGGGGTGTCCTGCTCCTGGGGGGCTGGGGCTCCTGGAGTGGGTACAGTGGGCCATGGGGTGGGGACAGGACACCCTGAGGGCAGCAGAGCCAGGGACGTCAGACAGCAGGCGCTGCCTCTCTTCCCAGTTTCCCCCAGTGTCGATGTGAGCACTAACCAGACGAGCCCCATTGAGGTGAACAAGACCATGAAATTCACCTGCCACGTGAAGGGGTTTTACCCAGAAACTGTGGCTGTTTCCTGGCTGGAGAACGGGGTGAAGATAAAGGAGGAGAAGGACTCCCGGCCGTCGATGTTCCGCCAGGGCTTGTTGGAGCTGAAGAGCCAGCTGGAGGTGCAAGCAACAGAGGAGAAGAATGGGTCCATGTTCACCTGCCTGGTGGTCCACGACGCTCAGGCCCCTGTCAACCAGTCAGCCATCCTGTGGATCGCCAGCCCGGACCAGCAGGGACAGAACAAGGGGTCCCAGATATACAGCGGTGCGTCAGAGCTGGGATGGGGTGCCTGCTGGGGTGGCTGTATGGTGTAACCCCCTGAGAAAGCCCAAAGCCCCATCAAAATCTGGTTGAAGGACTAAATCTCTGTACCAGGGGGATGGAGGGTGTGATAGTGGCAGGCTTCGAGCTGTCCTCCTCAGGGCTTCATGTGGAATTGGGCCAACCCCAGTTGTGAGTCTGCAGGGACTGGGGGTACCAGGTTCCTGGGCCATGGTGACCTTTTCATTCATGTTTCAGTCAATTTGCTCATCTATATTGTGGTGGCCGTGGTCTGCTTGGTGCTGGTCCTGCTGGTGGCTGCAATTCTGTACCTCATCCGGACAAAGCAGATGAAGGGTAAGGGAGCTGAGTGTGTGGCAGGGAGGCAGCTGCTCCCAAGCCCCTTCTTTCTCTCTCTCACATTAGTGCTTGGACAATTCTTGGTGGCTCCTGCCCAGTGGGATGATGGATAGAGGCGCCCTGGCTGTTTGCAGGCAGTAGAGAAAGCTCTGCTTGGTCTGACCCCTGCCCTCTCCTGTAGGGAAAAATGGAGTGAAACTCTGGGGAAACGTAGGCATTTGCCTCTGGGAAGAGATGTGTCCTTGCCCTTGTAGCAGCCTCTGCTCCATGCCTAGGGAAATGGGGGGATTATGTTGTTTCCTGGATTATTTCTTTCCTAAACTATTTCTCTTCCAGCAGGTAAAAGCTCACCAACTGCCAGGTGAGTGCAGTTCTTCTCTAGTCACTGGGTATCCTGTGGGCACTCTGAGCTGGACACCTCTGGCCCACAAACAGAGTCCTTCAGGACTGGGACAGAGCTGGACCCCCAAAACTTGTGAAAGGGAAGGCAGGAGCATGGGCTCTGCCCATCTCCCTGGCTGGGGTTCTGTCCCCATGGTGATTTTTGGCTTGTGGTGGGGCTGAGCAGGCATGTGGGAGCTGGTCTCTGGCCACAGAGAGGCAGCTGGACCAGCACATGAGCAAACATCCTGCTGGGTGTGGCTGCAAGGTCTTTGGTTTGCATCTGACCTCCCCAGCTGCTCCATCACCGGGGAGGCAACAGGGCACTCAGTCTGTCTCTCTGGTTTTGTTCCCCCTTCCAGGTTACATGAGCCGGAGAAGAGCAGCGAGGCCACGACCCAGGTGGGTCCATTCACCCTGTGGGACTGTGGAGGGAGAGTGGCCGAGAGACACCAGAGATGGGAGCGGAGGGTGGTGGTTCCCCAGTGAAACATCTCAGTGTCTCCAGCGGAGGGTGGTGGTTCCCCAGTGAAACCTCTTGGTGTCTCCACACTGTGGCCGGAGATGGAAGGGAAGCTGCCCCAGCAATGGGGTAACCACTTCCCAGCATCTCTCCTGCCTTCGCCCTCCCTCCCAGTAAAGTCTGGGTTTGTGCTGCCTGGAGAACCAGCTGTGCGATAGCCAGCCAGGCTATTTGTGGAGTTGTTTTGCATTCGGTGACGCAGCTGCGAGCTAAATCGTGATCAGCAGCAATCTGTCCATCCCACCCAGGCTCTGCCAGCTCCCGCGTGGGCATTGCTGGGCAGGCTGGCCCTGCTGGGACAGGGCGATGGAGCGGCTTCAGTGGTGGCTCTGGCATTGTGGCAGTGGCTCTGAAGCCCATCCCTCCCAGGACAGGGTGGCTCACGATTTGAAGCGGTAGCACGGGGTAGAGCATGGCTGCGGGATGGTGGCTGCTGGCACTGTTCCCCCTGTGCAGGCAGGGGGACTGAGGTGTCCCAGGACAAGCTGCAGTGGGATTGATTCCAGCATGGAGCTGTGGGTTGGCGAGTGGGTGGTGGGTCCAGGGAGATCCTCGCTTGTCCTCCCAGAGGAGGAACTCTCTGTGTCTCGCACAGGAATCCGACCCCAACAACCTGACCTATGCAGACCTGAACTTTGACAAGGAGAGGAAGACCATCCGCCGGATGGTGGAGATGAGCCAGCAGTCGGAGTACGCCTGCATCCAGACCAACCAGGCCCCCAACGGCGACGACAACCTCACCTACGCCGACCTGGACATGGTGCATCTCAGCAAGGCGCCCAAGCGGCCGGCCCCGCGCCCCGAGGAGGCCAGCTCCGAGTACGCCAGCGTCCAGATCCCCAGGAAGTGAGCAGTGGCTGCTGGGACCCCCTGTCCCACGGGGGGCAGCTCTGCTCCTCCCCGGGAGGGTTCTCCTGGAAGCACTGGGAGCGATGTGAAGACGCGCTGCGGTACCTGTGTTTTAGGACGGAAGTGGAGCCCGCGATACTGTGGGGGTCACCTCCCATCCACAGAGACCTGATTTTTGGGACCAGCTTGGTCTTAGGACTGCCAGCTCCATCCCCTCAGGACCCCCCTCAGGGGTCGCTCAGCCTCAGTGTGCCGGGTTTGCCCACGAGCGGGTTCAGCCAGCGGAGCAGCAGCTCCTTGGGAAGCTCAAGCTGGGCTGAGGGGACAGGTACAGTGCCTCCACACCAGCTCTCATGGGGATGCCACTGCCTGGCCCACGGCTCCCCGGGACCAGCAGGGCCCCCACACTGCCTTCTGGGGCTCTGCCACCACGCCTGGACACCACACTCTGGCTTTAAAGGAAGGACCGAAGCGTCCGCCTCTCTTCCCAAGTGTCCCTTCTGCGGGACCTCGGTCTCGCCCCAAGGCCAAGAGGCTGGAAGGCCATCGAGCCGAGCCCCCACCCTGCCGTCCAGGGGGGCTCCAGGTCTGGCTCCCCAGCACCGAGTATCCTTCTCATCATCATCATCTTCCTCTGCACAGCCTTGCCCTGCACCGGGACCCACCAGCGCTGCCCCAGGCTTGTACAAAGCGTGCGGGGGTCCCCCCAGCCTGGCTCCCCTCCCCGGGAGCTCCCCGCAGGTACCATGTAACATGTTTTGACTGTTTTGACATGTAACTGTTAATTTTTAGAGCTGAACCCCCCCCGATGTTTTGTGTTGTACGTGGGTGTACTGCTGTGTACTTAACACTAGAATAAGATGTGCAAGATTAAGACCGAGGCCTCAGTAAAGACCCTCCAACCCCTACAGAGTTTATAAGAGACTTACATGCCCCACTCCCCAGCTCTGTCTTGGGGGCCAGGCAGGCTCTCTCCAGGCCACTAGTGAGGACAAATGTCTTCTTCCATGTGGCCCCTCTCTGGGCCAACACGTGGGGTCTCACCCTGTGTTGGCTCCTGCAGCAGAGGAAATGCATGGGGCTGCCCCCCTGGCAGCTGGCAGGGGGCTGGGGGTACCTGGGGATGCTTTGGGAGCGATGTGACTGCTTGTACAGACTTTTTTTTGTTGTTTGTTTCCTTTTTTTTTTTCTTTTTGCTTGCAAGATATTTTTATAATAAAAGTGAAAAGTCCTGTGCTGCTCCCGCACATCAGCGTGTCCCTGTGCTCAGGGAGGCCACCTTGTCACCTGCACTGGGGGTGCAGGGTGGGGCTGGGGGTCTGTTTTTCCTGCACAGCCCTGCAGTGTGCTGGGGAAGGAGGGAAGAGGAAGGCAGGAGGCTGAGCCTGGCATGGGGGCTCTGGTGCTGGTGCTCCCCCCAGGCAGCCTGAGGGAGGGCAGCAGTGGACATGGGCAAGGACTGATCAGGTCTGGCCCTGCTGCATCTTTAGGTGCCCCCTGTTCCCTGGGAGCTGAACTGGGGAGCAGCCAGGGCTGGGTGCTGGCTGCAGCCTGTGCTGTGGGTGAGCTGAGCGTGCCAGTGCTCTGCAGTGACTGACCTCCTCCCTTTCCCACGCTGGAGCTGGAGGCCTGGCCGTGTCTGGGACACGAGCTGTGTCTCCCTGGAGCCAGGCACTGTAGTGTGAGGCTATGAAGAAGTTCAAAAGGGAAATTGCTGCCCAGGCTGGGCTTTCTCAGTGCTGAGCTGCTGCTGGTGGGGTCACACATGAGCAGTAAAGGGACAATGTGCCCACTCTCCTTGGCATGACTGCCCTTTCCCAGCTGGAGCAGCAGCCGTGATTCCCAAGGGAGCCTCCCTTGGGTGCTGCTGCAGGAGGTACCCTGCCAGCACCCTGCATGCCCCTACACCATGCTGGCCGTGCCCTTGCTCAGCTGGGGTGGCCCTGTCACCCCAGGACATGGCTCCCAGGGGGCATGGAGTCCCACATTCCCTTTGGCACCCATGGCACAGGAAGGGGACCACTGTGTGCTGCCTGCAGGTCTCACAGGTGGCACCACTGACACCCAGCCATGGGGTGCATGGTCCCTTCAGGCCTTGCTCTGCCCCGTGGAGGACGCTCAGCACCCGGCATGGCTTCGGCTTCGTTGGCATCTGCCTTTTATTGACTGCAGGGGGAGTTGGGTGTCAGGGTGTGGGGCTGGCCCTGCCTCTGGGGTTGTTCTTGGAGCCCAGGGGCACCAGGGGGGCGTTGGGATGGGTGGGACACGGTGAGCAGCTCGGGGAGGGGAGTCAGGGTTGGGCTCAGCACCGCTTGAGCACTCGGCTGGCAGTGCTGTGGTGACACCAGCCACCGCTGCCCATGGCCGTGGGAGCTACCTCCCTGATCCTTCCCGGTGCTCAGAGGGCACTGCCCGGTACATGAGCCATGATGGTTTCCAGACCCTGCTGCTACACTCCAGCAGCCACAGGAGAATGGAAGATACATGTTTCCAGCGGTTTGCTGCCAGGAGCCCTGGCCCTGGACCACGGCCACACTGCCAGCAGCCAGAGGGGTGGCACCGTCCCCTCCATGCACGGAGTCCCTAAGGGATGGGCAGGTGAACCAGAGAGGGACAGCTGGGGATGGGACCCACGGTTCCCTGGGGGAATGAGGCAGGGGTGACACCAGCCACGCCGGGCTGGGCAGGGGACAGGGCTGGGGACTGGATGGAGCAGTCGGGGCTGGCAGCGTGGGGACCGCGCTGCTGTCGTCCCACGCCTGGCTCTACAGGTCCAAGACCTCCCCTGAGTAGGCGCTGGGGTCCTCGTCGGAGCGCGTGATCACCTTGAACTGCCGCCGCAGGAAGCCCCCGTAGCGCTTCTGATTGTCCCACTTGAGCTTGGGCCGGATGCGGCGCATGAAGCCGCCGTAACGCTTGTGCAGCTGCGCCAGCTCCTGCCCCTCGGGCCCGGCACCCGTGGGCTCCTCGCCCCCCTCGCCTGCTGGCCCCAGCCCCGGGTAGTCCTCGGGGGCCGCCCGCTCCCCCGGCTTGTGGCCGAAGCCCCCGAACTTCTTGGCGAGGCCGCCCTTGCTGTGGGCGTTCTCGCGGAGCAGCGACAGCAGCTTCCCCTTGGACATCTTCTTCATGAAGCCCCCGTAGCGCTTGGCCGGTGCCAGCGGCTGCTCCCCAGGACCCAGCTCCTGCTCCAGCTCCGCCTCGTTGTCCTCCACCTCCAGTGGGGACGGGTCTGTCCCTTCAGCCAGGGCCACCAGCGGGGCCAGGAGCGCCAGTGCCTTCCTGCACATCTCCCACTCGGGGCCGGGCGGCAAGGAGCCCTGGCATTCCCACAGGCACATCTGCAAGATAGTGGCCACGGCGGCCCCAGGTACTCAGGGTGACACCCCCTGCCTTCTTTCCACCCCACCCTGAGGATGCCCCCACGCCAAGCCCAGGGGTCCATGCCCACCGTGCTGCACAGCTCAGCGAGGAGCCAAAACTTGCACATCCCCAGCACCCTGGGGTGCCCATGACCACCCCACCATGTGCCATCATGCACCCATGACACCCCACTGCTGTGACCACCCCGCTCACATCTGCGCAGGGCCAGCACTCACCAGGGGCCGGACGCTGCTCTCGGTGCCGTCGGTCTGAGCCGTGCAGAGGGAACACTGGGTGACACAGTCAGCAGATGCCACCGCAGCCAGGGACAGGCAAAGTACCACTGCCAGTGCCCACCGTGCCATCTCGCCCTGCAGCCACTGCCTGGGGAAGGGGAGAGCACAGAGCCCGTCACCCTCCCCGTGCTGGTTCTGGGAGACCCATCACTGCTCCGTGGCACCGGGCACCCACCACCTCCACTGTGAATTGCTCCTGGGGACACACACAGGGACCTGTGCCTGTGCCTATCCCCATGGGAGTCACCTCCAGGCACTGCTCCTGAGTCCCAGGCCAGGAGAGAGGCGATAGGAGTGACTGGCAAGGACATTACAGGATGCAATCCCTTAGCCTTGCTGCAGCTTGGTCCCTGGCACAAGCCCTGAGGCACAGCCAGGCCCTCAGGGCCACCAAGGTCACTGGGGGGCAGGGCCACTATCGCATCCCGTCCCATCTGACTCCATCCCCTCTCTCCTTTCCATCCCTCTTACCATACCATTAGAAAGAAAAGCGCCTTTTTTCTCTAGCGTGGGGTTTCTCTGATACCGCGAGTGCCACGTCTGTGTGGCGTGGAGGGATGAATCACCAGCTCTTCCCCTTGGCCTTGGGGAAGAGAACAACCACAACCGGAGCCGTGGTGGGAAGGGGATGTGGTGATGCCATCACCCAGTGTGGACTCACCCCAGGCTGCTGTGCCCCACACCCATGCAGCCTCATCTCCCCTCCCTCCCACCCACCAACTCTGCTGGGCTGGTGCATCAGGAGGGAGGGGGAAAAATGCAGATTTTGGCTTCAAGCCTACCTGCAAGCCATGATCGCCGTCCTCCGGCCGTGTGGGGGCTGTGACAGAGCCTCTGGCATCCGCGGATGAGGCCAGGGAGGGCTGAGAGAGGGGCTCAGAAGAGAGAGGGGCTCTGCAGGTGGCAGTGCTCTGCCAGACCCTGGATGAGGCTGGAGGGGCCAGTGCAAACCCCTGTTCAGGATCACGGTGCCACCAGGACCACGATGGCCCCGGGAGCAAGAACCAACCCCAAAGGGGTGCGCTGGCTGCAAGCCCCTGCCTGCCTCCGTGGCTGCTTTTATCTGGGGTGGGAAGGCATGACCCAGAGGGATCTGTTACACATTAATGACGCATATTAGAGACTATTGTGTTCTCCAGCAGTAGCTGCTAATGTACTGTAATTGGTACTGATGAAGAAATGTTAATGCCACAGTATTAATTCACGCTAGATTAAAATTTAATTTGAATTATCTGCACCATCGTGTGTGGAGCTGTCTGCATTCCTCGGCTGCGCTGCCACCGGCTCCCTGCATCCCCCAGTGCCCTGGCAGCACGGTGGGGACCGGGGTGAGCATGGTGGGACCTCACCCAGCCCTCACTGCGGAGACACAGGGACGGTCCCTCATCACCTCGGAGCCACTGAGACAGCACGGAGGAGCGAGGACCTGCCGGCCGCACAGGTAGGTGCCAGCTGCAGCACTGGGAGGAATGAAGCTCCCAAAAATAACTACCTGCTGCTTCCCAGCAGCCTCACCGGGAACATTTTTTTCCCCCTTTTTTTCCACCTGCTTCTCCCTCCCTTGCCCTGCCGTGCTCCTCTGCTGCCGATGTGGGTGCCGCCAGAGTAGCGCGCACTGGGAACGTTCACTCCGTGCCAGGAACAAGCTGCCAGCGAGACTGGCACTGCACAGCTCAGTCCTCTGGCACTCTGGAAACAGCGTGTCCCACCCCTGTCCTGCTGCTGCAGCAGGAGGATTTCAAGGCACACAGGGGAGCTGCAGCTCTCCGGGCACAGGGTGTCCAAGGACACCCCACAGCAAATGTACCGCGTCCAGATGATGCCACAAATGTCCCAGCAGTGCTCTGCCTGCTCCTGCGGCTGGGAGGGGGGAACTGGAAAAACGGGAGCAGGAAAAGGAGAGGAAAACAAAGGGCTTTGGACAATAGAGAAAAGAAGCAGAGAGGGGGGGAAAGAAGCGAAAAGAACACAAAGGGAGGAAGAAGAAAAGCAGAGTTCGAGCTCAATCCGGCGTAACCTGGAGGAGCCCGAGGCTCCAGAGCCATCCCTCCTGTGGGAACACCTCATCAGGATTGTGGCAGGGTCTGGAAATGCCAGCATTGCATCCCAGCCACTGTGGCCACTCACGTTCTACCTGTGCCAGGTGCCTGCCAGGATCCCCTCCTGCCCTGCCCCATTTCCACTTGAGCCTCCAGAGCCCAGGCTTTGCTTGTGTTTGGAAAAGCCACAAACTGCATCCATGCACTCCAGGGACCAGTTACAGACCTGGTGACCCAAGGAGGGATGGGGAATTGGGATTGAGAGTGCCAAGCAGCAGAGACCAACCCTCTCGTGATTAACCTGTGATTATTCCTAATGAGGGACTCGAACAGCAATCCCAGACTGGCCAGATCCCTCCTCCCACACAGGTCTAACTACGCAGGTTCAGTCCCTGCAGGTATTCCTGGTGGAGAAGAAGAATCAACCTTACAGCTGTTCCTGTCTTCACTGTTAAAATTTACTTGGACAAACGCTTCTCAAAAAAGCTGGCAACTTTTAGAACAGAATCACTCAAAACCTGCTGCTGTGGCCGCCACTGCTGCTTAAGCCAAGCAGTGGGAGAGAAAGAAACGCCCCATCCTCTCTCCCTGCTCCCTTTGCCCCTCTGAGCCCTGGGTGACCCTGCTGCCAGGGTGGCAGGCATGGCATCAGCATGGAAATGAACCCCAGCAGAGCTCTGGACAGTGCTTCACAGGCTATGAAAAACCACTCGAGGGGCAAGAGGAGCACCTGCAGCCAGGTGGGAGCCCCTTCAAAATAGCACAGCAAGCCCAACCATGAGCTGCTCTCAGCACTGAGGCTCAGGGTGTGTTTTTAAACAGTCGCTTTTTGGGGAGTAGGAGCGATGCCCAGCTGTGCCCATGCCACGGGAGCAGGATGACAACCCCAATAGACCTACCTGCGCTGCTCCCCGTCCCGCCGAGCACCCACTTCGCCAAGTCAGCACAGGTGGTGGGTGATGGGTGTCCCTCCACGGGTGTCAGGCTGAGCCAGTCATCAGTTGAGGTGGCAAGGCCACGCTGGCGGGTGGCCCCACGGTGCTGCCCGGGTTGCCCACCGGACTCGCCGCCCGCTGGCTCCCAACCCCGCTTTTATGGCCACGGAGCCTCCTCCTGCGGCGGGGCCCGGCTGTGCGCGGCGGCAGAGCCAATCGGGGCGAGGGAAGCTGTGAATAATCAGCCCCGCAGCATCCCCGCCACCTCCCGAGCGAGCTCGCCCGCCCCGCCGAGGCCTCCCCGCAGCCGCCCGGCCGCCCCTGGGGCAGGGGTGCAGGTCCCACCGCTGCGGCTGCAGCACTCGGGGACCTCCGTCGGGGCCAGCCTTTGGTCCTCAGGGCCGAAATGTGTGCCCCGAACACGGGAGGTGGCAGGAGACCGGGATGGGGTCTGTCTTCTCCCACAGCTGCACGCCACAGGAGTTTGGCTGCTGGGGGTGTGAATCCCCTTGGCCACCAAATTCCAATCCTGCCCAAGCAGGACGAGGGAATGAAACCCTGACCTCCTCCTACCCCACTCCCCAAGCTGGGAAGAGGTACTGTTCCATGGAGATGCCAGGGAGAGGAGTGAGCCCATCCACTCTGCTGGGAAGGGAGAGAGGGTCTTCGTGCCCTGGGAAAGGCTGGATGCCCCCAACCCACCCAGCCTGGTTGCTGTTGGGCAAAACAGCTCTCACATGGAAAGCCTCAATCTCCACAAAATCAGGGCTCAGACCCCAATGAGCTTCCCCCCAACCCCACATCCCCCAAACCCTCTCCTCGTGGGAGCAAACCCAGAGATGAGCTGAAGGGGCAGGGGGAGCTGTGTGGGGGGACAGAGACACCGCCACTTTCCCTGCTCAGTCCTGATTCCTGTTCTCTCACATCCCCAAGCCTGATTTGGTGGTGAGGGAGGGCAGCACCAGGCAATGACAGGCACACCCTGAGCCCGTGCACCACCGTCCCACTGCACCATGTCACGACAGAGGTGTGGGATGGGGGTCCACGGCACAGGCCCCGTGGGGCCAGGCCAGTTTGCCTCAGCCCCACAGCCCAGTGGGTGCAGACACGTCCCCTGTGTCGCCGGCAGCGCAGCCCATCCTCTTGCCTTGAAGATGGAGCTATTTTTATCGGAGCTCAAGAGGGATGTTTCCCAGCAACCTGCTGTTCTCCCAGCTCGAACACCAGCTGCTGGACCTGGTGCCCCCTGCTCAGCCCTCCCAGCACTGGTGAGGGACATGGAGGCAATTGGCACAGCCAGGACCCTCTGCTGGGCTCCCAGCAGCCACAGCAGCCTGTGCCCTTGGCCCTCCATGCCCGAGGCTGGTGGTCACCTACGCTAGCACCCGTGTCTGCTCCCCAGGTAGCAGATGGGACTCCACAGCTTTTGCTTGGAGGTGAATTTTAACTCATCCAGGCCAGGGCTGTGCCTGCACAGAGGACGGACCAAGGGAGCAGGGCATGGGGTGGGGGGCAAGGGCAGAGCATCCTTGGGCCAGTGGAGGAACCCACACTGGGTGCTGCAGTGAGGGGGATGGAGCACACCAGCAGAGAGCAGCCATGCCCCCCCTCCGACTGTGTTGGGTTGTGCTGGTCTGTGCAGGCACAGAACAAAGCTGAGAACAAAACACAGCTTCAAACCACCACTGGCACCTTGGGCGAGGGGCTGTGAGCAGACCCTGGGCAGTTTAATCCTTGCTGCCAGGACTGGCTGTCCTGCAGGCACTGCAAGTGTGGTGGGGAGGAGCATTTCTGCACCGAATCCATTATTTTTATATAAAAATATATATATGTATATATGCACCCAACAGCCTGGGGTGCAGCCACCTCCCGCACAGGGTAATTGCACTGGAGGGAGAGGTGTTCCTAGGGATGGTGCAAACCCCATGGACACAGAGGGAAAAGTCGTTTGGAATAATGTTCCTTCCCTTTGCTCCAGGTGGGAGGTCGAGTTCCTGCTGTCCCCAGAGCAACGTGCCACAGGTGTGCTGAGCTGGGTGAGAGGGTCCAGGCAGGCGTGGGGGGTGACAGGGTCCCCCGGGAGAGAAGCTGGGAGCCAGCCCACCCACCAGCAACTCTAATTGATATTCATCTGTCTCCTCCTAATGGGAAAGTGTCTCTGAGTCACACTGACATTTCCCTGGGACAATGGTAATTAAGCACCCGGGTAAGAGGAATGTGCGGTAATAGAAAAGTTAACTTTTCTTAACTACCTGAGTGAAAGGCGGGTTCGACGAGGAGGGGGCCGAGCGTGCCAGGCACCCGCGGAAGAAGGTGGGAGTTTAATGGCAGCTCACGTCACACGGCGCTGCCACTCTGCCCCTGCGCCCCCCGTATCCCCCCGGGGACCCTCCCCCGAGCCAGCCAGGACGCTCGGCTCCCCATCCCGGGATGGGGTAAGCCGTGCCTGCAGGTTGGGACAAGCTCTGCCGGCCGCCGGGGCTGTCCCCGAGCGGCGGGACCGTGACCCAGCGCTGCCGGCGGGAGTGGCCGTGGATCCTCCAGCACGGTCGGCTTTATCCCATTCAGCGGGCAGGGCTTTTCCAGAAACTCCTAAAACGTTCGCGCTCCTGCCCGGCCCTGCAGGAGACGCATTTTGAGGGACACTGGGAGAAATGAGGGATGAGCTGCTGCTCCAAACATCCCGCGGGAGCTGCGCCATCTCCCATCGCGTGTGACAGCACCGGAGCGGGCCCCCGGCACTGCACCGGCAAAGGGGGTACCGGAGCAGGGAGAGGGCGCACGGTGACCTCCCTGCGTGGGCAGGAGGCGCAAGGGCCACTCGACGGCGGTGCGAGGAGCGGCGCCCACGCGAGCGCGGCGAGTCACGGCGCTGCCGAGCGGCACCGGGGACACGGCGCCCGCAGCCCCCCCTTCCCTCCCGGGGAAGGTGAAGTGGCTCCATTTAAAAGCAAATTGAGGTCAAACCACTCGCAGGAGCTGTAGCCGCCCTGTCACCGCGGGGCAGCTCCGCGCTGGAGCCACCGGTGGCTCCGGGGGTCGCCGTCCCCTCCCCGCGGGGCCCGGCGTGACGCAGCCCGGAGCTGCCGGGGCTGCGTGATGGCAGCGGCACATGGCTCGGCAGCCAGGCGAGAAATCAGGGAATTTCGAGAGCTCCTCCGTGAACAGGCTCTGCAGACGATCTCCTTGACCGGTGCCAACGGCACCGCGCGGGGGGCAGGAAAACGCGGCTGGACCCAATCCCGGGGGGACACACTGCAGCCCCGGAGTCCCGGCGTGGGGCAGTCGCCGCGTCCCGCTCTCAGTGATGGATGAACGTCCCACACATGGACACCCCGTGGGTGCCGCGCCGCCCCACGCCAGCCTGGGCTGCCCCAAAAAAACCCCGTCTCGGACCGCAGGGCAGCAGGGCGATGTCTCCCGGGATCGTGGAGACTTTCCGGGGAACTTCCAGCTGGAATTCCCCGGTGATCGCCGGGAGCGGGGTCGGACTGTCACCGGCGGGGCCCCCCAGTGCTGCCGGGGCTGTGAAAACGCTCCCGGTGTGCCGAGCATCCAACACCGCACGTCCACCGCTGGCGCACCGGGGATTCACCGTCTCAGGGATGCACTGTCCCGCTCCCCGGTGTACCCAGCACCGCAAGGCTACTGCCGGCACGGCGTCTCCCGGGGATTCGCGGCATCCCGGGGCACCGGCACCTCCCGAGGCATCACCACTCCCCGGGCGGCATCACACCCGACCGCCCCCGGTGCACCGGCCCCCTCACACCGCACGGACACCGCCGGTGCACGGGGCCCCTCCCGCGGCATCTCCCGACCCGGGGCGGTGGGAGGGGGCGGTGGGGGGGCGGGTCACCCCCCGCCGTTACATAAGGGGTTACGTCAGGCGCGCGGCCCCGCTCTTATCCCGCCGCCGCCGCCGCCGCCGCCCGCCCAGCCCAGCCCAGCCCATTCACACGACGCCGCCACCGCCGTCGCGCAGCTCCGGTCCGAGCGCCCCGCCGCCAGCGCCGCGCCGCAGGTGAGCCCGCGGGGCAGCCCCGAGCCCGGAGGGGCGGGAGGGCCCGGCAGGGGGACCCGGGCGGCCCCCATGGCCGGCCTGTTTACACCGGCGCGGCGCGTACCACCGCGGCGGGGCAGCGGGGGGGGCCGGCCGCCGCGCTGAGCCCCTCCTCCCCACCCCCTCCCCCGCCGAGCCGCGCTGGCGCGCCGCGCCCTGGCGGCCGCGCGCGGGCCGCAAACCAGGCGCCCCGCTCGAGCCCCGGCGCGGCGGCGGCGGCGGCGGCGAGAGAGGCCGGCCCCGGGGCGGCGGCGGCGGCGGCAGGCTGTGCCGCAGCCCCCGTGGCGGCGGTGGTTCGCGCCGCGCGGCCGCGATTGGCCGGGCGCTTAAAGGGCCGGCAGCGCGCGCTTTTCCGCCCCGCGGCGCGGCCGCGGCCCCGGCGCGTGCCCCTCGCCCGCGCGGCGCTGCCCGGCACGCAGGGCGGGCGGGAGGACATGGACGGCGGCCGCCGCGGGACACAAAGAGCGGCCGTAACGGCGGGGCGGCGGCGGCGCGCGGCGCGGCGCGGGGCCATGGCGGCGGCCGCGGCGGGGCCGGGCATCGGCGGCGGCGGCGGTGGCGGCCCGCGGTACAGCCTGCTGGCCGAGATCGGCCGCGGCGCCTACGGCGTGGTGTACGAGGCGGTGTCGGGCCGCAGCGGCGCGCGGCTGGCGGTGAAGCGGATCCGCTGCGACGCCCCCGAGAACGTGGAGCTGGCGCTGGCCGAGTTCTGGGCCCTGACGAGCCTGCGGCGGCAGCACCCGAACGTGGTGCGGTTCGAGGAGTGCGTGCTGCAGCGGCACGGCCTGGGGCAGCGCATGAGCCACGGCAACAAGCGCAGCCAGCTCTACCTGCGCCTCGTCGAGACCTCCCTCAAAGGTACCGGCCGCCCTCCCGGGGCACCGCCCGGGCTGCCCTCGCGCCCGGGGCCTCCGGGGCCCCCATCCCTGGCACCCATGTCACCCCCCCATCCTTTCCCTTTGCCCTCTTCCTGCTGCTATCAGTGTCCCCCTGCACCCAGGTCCTCCTGCCTACCCCCGTGTCACCCCATCCCCAGGTTTTATCCCCCTTGGATACAGGGGCAGGACACCCTGGTGTTTTGCCCCCTCCCGTGGGACACCCTGCTGCAACACCCCCACCCCAGGCACTGTAGTGCCCTCCCTTGCTCCCCATCACCCCCTTGCTCAAATCCCTCCATGGCATTGTCCGCTCTCAGGAGCACCCAGAGCTCCCCCCAGCTCTCAGAACACCCCTCCCTCCACTTTGAATCACTGTTTTTCCAGCATAACCACCCCTGGGCTTCCCCCACTGTGCCCTTGGGCACCCCATCAGCCTTGCCAGCCCTGGGGTTCCCTCTGGAGTACCTGCTCCAGGCTTGCTCCCTGCTGTTCCCATCACCCACCTCTGTCCTGTCCCTGCACGGCTCCCCCACAGGGTCTCTCTGCTGCCCCTCTTTGGTGCCACCCACCCTGAGCACACCTGGAGAATCCCTGTTCTGGGCCCTGTCCCCCATGCCCTGCCCTTGGGCTCTGCCTGTGTGCCCTCTCTACTCTTCCCTGTGTTCTGCTTCCAGTGACACCCTTCCCTAAGCCCACACTTCTGTCTTGCAGCCCCATCCCTCTCTTTCTGAGCAACCCTGTTGCCACCTCCAGGATCAGACCCAGCCGTGGGGGACATCCCTGGGTGGTGCCCCTGCAACCCCTGCCAGCACTGACCTCGTCCTCCTCCCTTTGCACCCCAAATCCTGGGGTTCCCTCTGCTGCCACAGCACACACACACATCCCTGGGGGACCTTCACAGCCTCTGCCCCAGTCACACCGAGGGGACATCTCCCTGTCTCTGCCTGATGTCCCATCTCTGAGCACCCCAGGGCTGCAGCCCTGCCTGCTCCCTTGAACTCTCGTGGCTTTGGGACCGTCCCCATTTCCCCCCAGTGCTGGCTCTGTGGGAACAGCCCTGGAGAAGCATCAATGCTTGTAGCCCAGGCTGACACCCCCATTTTCCCCTGGGGTCCCTCCATCACGGGACTGTCAGGGGTCACCTTCTCCTGTCACAGCCGATGACTGTGATGGTGACATCTCCAAAATGCTCCCTCCCTCTGCTCTCTTGGCTGCTTGTCAGTCCCAGCTTTGCCAACGTGCTGCCAAGATGTGGAAAAATACCAGAGCCCTCAGTGCCCCTCGGGCCCCCCAGCCTGCTGTGGGCAAAGCCAGCTCACCCCAATCCCTGTTCCCCAAATTTGTGTGTAAATTGACTCCTGTCTGCTCCTCAGGGCTCAATTCCTCAGTGCCCCCAGCTGAGCCCCCAGCACTGGCAGCCCCCAAACCCTGTGCCAAGCACAGAGGTCATGTGAGGCTGCTGAGACCCATCCTCTGAGCAAACCTGTGGCTCTGACTGCCCCTGCCTTCCCTGTCCCCTCTGTACCCCTGGGGGAGACGTGTCCAGACCTGCCTGGCTCCCCCCATGCAGCCCAAGCTCCTGGTCTCCCTTCACGCAGCCACCCAAGGGAGGCTCCCCGGGAAGGGCAGTGTCCGAATTCCTGTGCAGCCTGGACTCAGGGCTCCCTGGGAGAGGAGCCAGCTCTTCCCTTCGGGTGCGTGTCCAGCTGTAGCAGGCCAAGCTCTGTCTGGCAGGTACAAGGGTGGGTTCCCACACCCCCTCTGTCGTGTTTGCACACCCCGAGGAGGGGTAGCTCGGCTTGGGGAAAGCTCTTGGGCAGCTGTAGGTGCCTCATCTCCAGCTGGGGAGGGAGCCCCATAGGTGCCCCCATCTCTAGGTGGGGATTGAGCTCCCTGAACTCCCAGCCGTGGGGAGGGCTTTGCCTGCCCTGGTCCTGCTGCAGCCCCAGGCTGAACAGGAGCAGTTTGACTCCCCAAACCAGAGCACATTTTCTCCTCCCTCTGCCCTCCTCCTGCTTGCCCTGGGGGCTGCCTTGTGCCAGGGCAGCCTTTGCTCGCTGCCTTCCCGAGCCTTGGGTCGGATAGACACGGATATAAATATTTCCAAAGCAAAAGGCAGAGCTGGAGGAGCCCCCCCCAGGTCTCCTGCTCCCGTTCCCGGTGCGCGGCAGTGCCGGGAGTGCCGCGGTGGCCGAGGAGCGGGGCTGCCGTGCCATTCTGCACGACCGCAGCTGGGCTATTTACGGGCCAGCGCAGATGCTGTGCCAACGTGCCGGGGCTCAGGGCACGGGGAGGATTAATCCAAGACCTTCTGAATCGGGAGCACAACTGTCGGGACACCCGGGCGACGTTGGGTCTCAGCTACGGCGCGGGAGCCCAAACCTTTATGGTTTTAATGAGACGTGGAATAATTAAATTTAAGGGCAGGGTGGTGTAAAGAGGAAGCTGAAAGCCCAGCGCTGAGCTGGAGGAGAGGCACAGACCAGTGCAATGTGCTCAGAGTCCTGATACAGGAGCATCTCCAGGGCAGCCATGTGCCCTTCTTGCTCCTAACCTAGAGCAGTGACAGAGCTGCCTTAAGTGAACAGGTATAAGGTCTTGTTTCCTAGGGTGTCACCTGTGGGGCCAACAACTTGCCACCAGCACTCAGCCTCACCTGTGGGCTGCCCTGGCATCACCCATGTGTGTTGCCATCAGCTCCCGTCTCTCTGGCACGGCCTCTTTGCACAGAGGGAGTTGGAGGTTACACGTGGTCGTAGGTGCTGGGACGCTGCTTCTGCTCTCCCTAGATTTTTGTTTTCCCTCTGAAGCCAAGCAAATTAGCATGCTGCTAATGAGCTCCCAGGATAGATGGTGGGGGGCTGCTGGAAGGATGGAGGGTGAATGTGTGCCATCCTGGGTTTGGGCAGGGAGCTGATTTGTTGATGGAGAACAGGTCTGGCCTGTCATCAGCTCTTGGCTGCTTGGCTTCAGCTTGCTAACATCTCGTCTTTAGGAAGCGGCTTGCCAGCTCTTTATGTTTCAAGCTGTTTGTTTTGAAGGCAGGAAGATGATTTAACAACTAAAACACTTTCAGATTATAGAAAGAAAATGAGGAAATATTACTTTTGGCTTAAGCCTCTCCTAGCAGCGCTCCACCCAAACTGGAGTGCCTGGTGCTTGCAGTTACTGCTGGGTCGCCGTCCTCCCCACGCTTGCTGAGGTTCAGGGGCCAAGTTTTCAAGCAGAGCCTTCGCTGTGCTAAAAACAAACCTTGGCTTGTCAGGGGCAACAGGTCCTGGCTGCTGCTGAGGCAGTTCCTGAGGGAAGGGGCTGTCGGCAGCGCTGTGTGGATGCTCCCACCTGGATGTGTGTGAGGGGAGTGAGGCTCCACTGTGCTCCCTGTCATGGTTTGATTCCCGGCAGAGAAGAGCCAGACCCTCCTGCTCCCTATGTGTTGGGGCTGTATGGATGCAGAGGGGAGCAGGAAAGCCAAACCCTGTGTCCTGCTGTGATGTCACTGGATTTAGCAAAGGGTGGTGGTGGCAGTGGCGTGAGCTGGGGCTGTCCTGGCTGTGCCAAGGGCTCTGCTCCTAGGACAGGCAGCCTCTGCTGCAGTTTCCATGCTGTCATGCCAAAGGGTGGCTTACACCGGAGAAACTGCTTTTCCTGGTCAGCATTTTGGTCTCCAGAGCCAAGCCTGTCCTGTGCTGCTCCTGCTTGGCCCTTGGGCTTGCCCTGCTCCAGCCAAATGAGACCCCTGTACCCCTGTGTACCTCCAGCCTGTTCTTCCATCCCCAGAACTAACCTTCAGACCTAATCTCAGCAGAAGATTGCTGAGGGCAGAGAGGTGCAGCCAAATCCTTGTGTTGTGCAGCTTTCCATTTCCATAGCAGTAGCCATGGATACAGACTGTTTGTGCAAATAACCAATATTCCCACCCACACCGATCCCTGACCAGTGCAGCCCAGGGCTGGGTGTCCCTGGTAGTCCTTGGCTTTACCTGCTGCTGGAAGTTTTTAGCTTTCCCAGATGCTCTCTAGGGCTTTGCTCAAACAAAACCCAACTTTGTCAAATGGGTGGAGTTACTTTAATGCTTTCAAAACACTGGAGTTCGCCAGTGGGATTTGTTAACAGTGGCAGAGGTGAGTGGTGTCCTCCAGCTTCTGCCTTATGGTGCTTGAGGGAAAAAAAAAAAGTAGTTTCTAAGTAGTTTCTAGAGTCAAATGATGCTCTGGTGGTGTGTGCAGGCTCTGCCTGTCACCTGGGTACTCTATGGAGGAGACCTGGGGTCTGGCAGTGGGGTTTGCATCTTGGCATCACCTAGTGGGGCGAGGTCTGCCAGTGCTCTCTGGGGCACCCTGGCATCCTCAGGGAGCACCAGTGGTAGACCTGTCCCCATTAGCTGAGATGATTCTGCTGTGGTTTCCATGTATCTTAATTTACGTGCAGGAGAGTCTTTTCCTTGGCAGGAGGATTTGTGGAGTAAAACCTGGATTTAATGAATAGACCCTGAGATGCTCTGAGCTTGAAGAGCTCACTTTGATGTCTGGTGAAGGGAGAAGCTGTTTGGGGTGTGATATTTAGTAGTAGCAACAGTAACAGTCACCAGCGTGGCAATTACACTCAGCAGACATGGTTTGCTGCTTGGACCTCCAGTTTCATCTCATTAAAGAGCTGTTGGCACTTAATGAAAGCTGGATGAAGTGGCAGAGCTCCCCCAGCACAAATGCAGTTGAACGCACAAATTTGGCCTGGGAACACCCCGTGGGCTTGGACAGTGGTGTGGCCACTCTTAGGCTGCACTGGCACCATTAGTTATTCCCCATGTGCATTTCCAGTAAATTGTGCAGAATGAGCCAGCCTTTGCCTCCTGCAGCAGAGCTGAGGTTGAGGTCTCCCCCTGAGGAGGAGGTGTTCACATAGAACTTTTTTTCTCCTGTAGACTTGCTGCTGATTGTGCCTTTAGCCTGTGTTCCTTGGCTGTCAGCCTGGGCAGAATGGCCTGATGGTGGGGCTGGAGCAGACGTGTTCTCAGTGCCACTCACTGCGCTTGGCTGGGAAGAGATCCCTGAGCTGGCCCCCAGGCAGTGGCTTGGATAAATGGGGTGCTGGTGTGTGGGATCCTAAAGCACTTGAAGCCACAGCAGTGCCACTGATGGTGCCCTGCAGTGCGATAGGTCCCGGTCACGTTCCTGTATCCACATAAACCAGACCCGTTCCTCATCTGCCCTGGGTTAGTGTGGACTTTGTAACGTGCCTGAGAAACCAACTCTGTTATCCCTCTTGCATAGGTGAGAGGATCCTGGGCTATGCAGAGGAGCCTTGCTACCTGTGGTTCGTCATGGAGTTCTGTGAAGGGGGAGACCTCAACCAGTACGTGCTCTCCCGAAGACCCGACCCAGCAACCAACAAGAGCTTCATGCTGCAGCTGACCAGCGCCATTGCCTTCCTGCACAAGAACCACATCGTCCACCGGGACCTGAAACCAGACAACATCCTGATTACAGAGAAGTCTGGCACCCCCGTGCTCAAGGTGGCCGACTTCGGGCTGAGCAAGGTCTGCGCTGGCCTGACCGCTCGGGGCAAGGAGGGTGGGCACGAGAACAAAAATGTGAATGTGAACAAGTACTGGCTGTCCTCGGCCTGTGGCTCTGATTTCTACATGGCCCCCGAGGTCTGGGAAGGACACTACACTGCCAAGGCTGACATCTTCGCCCTCGGCATCATCATCTGGGCCATGATTGAGAGGATCACTTTCATTGACGCCGAGACCAAGAAGGAGCTGCTGGGGACCTACATCAAGCAGGGGACCGAGATTGTGCCCGTTGGGGAAGCGCTGCTAGAAAACCCAAAGATGGAGCTGCACATCCCTCAGAAACGCAGGACTTCCATGTCTGAGGGGATCAAGCAGCTCTTGAAAGACATGTTGGCTGCTAACCCGCAGGATCGACCTGATGCCTTTGAGCTTGAAACCAGAATGGACCAGGTTACATGTGCTGCTTAAATTCAGGGCAGGGCACTGCTGTGCTTTGCAGCTGGGTAAGTGATTCGCACTTTTTATCTTATTCTGTCTGCTGTACTGGCCCCATAGTGCACTTTGTAGTGACACAAAGGAGCCTTATGTTCCCAGAGCTCTTTTCGTAGTGACTCATCAGAGCACTGTTTTCACCTATTCTACTGCAAAAATAAAGTAGAAGTGGGAAACAGAATTAGCAGCTGCGTGTCCTGCCACTGCCCGAAGGCCCAGTGGAGTTGGGAGTCCTGCTCCTCACAGGTTCTGGCCAGTGTCAGAGACAGGCTGGGGTGTGGCAGAGAGACCTGTAAGCACTTGGTATAAGCTTTGGGGGCATCTTTCTCCCCCGGGGGCAGGGAGGGAGCTGCCACTTCTGCCTCTGCTATGTGATGTAATTTCTGTGATCAGTGTTAGGGGCACCTCACTGTCTGGAACCATCTCCCTCCCCTGTGACACTTGGACAGGGCACCTCGGGGCTCAGCTGGCTCTGCCAGCAGGCACCGAGTGGCACATCTGCCTGGGCACAGAGCTGTTTCCTTTCACCTACGAGGCACATGGGTCTGTCTTGTGGCTCTGTTTCGTTTCCCTGTTAAGGGCAGGACTTCCCTTTGGTGTGAACTGCAGTGTCCCAAAGCTGGGAGATGCTTTGCTCTCCAGCATCTGTGTTTGTAGACCTGTGTCTGCTCAGGAAGGAAGCTTACAAAACAGCAGTGCTCAGACTGAGCTCTACTCTGTTCAGGAGTCCCCTCCCTTCTCCCCCCAGCTAAATAGTCTCAAGCTCAGAGGTCCTGATCCTGAGACCTGGGTGGTCACACATGGTCTGGAAGGATCCCTGGGGATGTGGGGTAACTGGCCCTGTCATTAACCAGTGACACAGAAGGACTGGGAGGTGTTGACCACATGGCAGAGCTGTCTGTAAACAGGAGCTGTTACTAGGGATTCTCCCAGCCAAACATTTCAATGGAACTGAAGAATTACAGATTACCAGGGGTGAGGCTGATCTCTTCCCAGCCCAGGTCTTTTCTCAGGCTCCTGCAGAGCTGCCTGCCTCTCAGTGATCCCCAGAGACCTCTGACAGCCTTGCCTGTGTCAGGTGCTGGCATTGCAGCCTGTGCTGTATGTAGAAAAATAAGGATATGGAAGTGGAAAGACCCATTGGGTGGGTCTTGTTCTGTCACTGTTGGTTTGTCCAAACTTGTGCACGGACCATCCCCTCTGCACCATCCCACGCACAAAATATTTAACACCCTTGAGGTCTCAAGTGCAGATAACTGATTCAAACGCTTCTGCCTGGGGCTTGATACTGGGCCCAGTGCAAGTGTGGATTAGTGTGAGAGGAGTGAATCTTCGGAAATGTGAGCCCTTAAGAAGGGTGTGCTCCAGCCCCGGGGCAAGAGCAGACACCCACCCCACCTTGTGCCCTGGAGGCGAGGCGTGGGGCCGGTCCGGGGTGGGAGCAGCTCTGCCGAGGGTCAGGCCGGGCTGTGCCATCTGGGCTTGCTCTGTGCTGACATGATGCTGCTGAGTTATGCAACCAGCCCGTGCCCTCCGGGGAAAATTCATCCTGCGCAGATCTGCGGAATAGTACATGAAGGGATAACAAACACCGAGGGGACAGTCCTACCCCGCGGCTGTTTGCTCAGTCCCAGCTGCCTCCCTCAGCCCCCCCCAACCCCTCCATCCGTGAGGCTGCACCGATCGCTCCGTCGTGACACAGCTGCGGCAGCGATGGATGCTCTTACATAACCCAACCTGGCACACGGAGCGTGGTCGCTTGGCCCAGATAGAGCCCAGCACCAGCCATATGTTCCCTGCAAGCCCACAGCGTTCCTCTCTCTGCCTCAGGCCTGGGGCACCACAGTGTTTGGTGGGCTTTGCTGTGGGGTTTTTCTAATGCCTGGTGTAGCAGTGCGTTCCAATCAGCCTTCCTCTGGCTGCTGTTAAAATGCAAATCTTAAATTGGAAACCTGCTTGAGAAGCTTAAAATGGGATTTAGAGCAGGGCCTGAATTCTGCTCTCAGGTAATTTTAGTTGACCGAGAAACTCGCGTAACCCCTTCCGACTTAGTGTGTAGCTTGGTCATGCAGCGAGTTCTTCCCCAGGACAGTTCAGACCTGCTCAGCCTTGGTTCCTGTCATAACCTGGAAATTTGTAACCCTCCCTGACCCAGGCAATCGGATTTTTGCTTGTTCTTTGCTGTGCCACTGACCTTCTCAGGTTTCGCTTCGTGTCTCAGCAGCTTTGCCTTCAGTTCTGCCAGGGATGCTGCACCCACCTGGCAGCCCCACGCTCCGCTGCCCTTCCGAAATGCTGATAGGAAATGTCAGTTCTCAGAGAGGAAAGTGTTTCTGGCTTGGTTTCCGCTGGATGCTGGGAGTGCCTGAGGTGGAGATGATTCCTTATCTCCTTGCTCTCCCCCCCAGCACTGCCGGTGGCCCTGGGGCAGTACTTCCAGCAGAGGTGGGCAATGTCTTCCTGGGGAAAACAAAGGTCTTCTCTTTCTCATTTGAACAACTGTGCTTCCCCACCTTGGGCAGAAGTTTATCTACAGCCTGAGATCGTCTGCAGAAGTTTATTTAAGCCAAGTTTATCTACAGCTCTCTAGAGCTGTTCGCAATGCCTTTTGGACAAAGAGGACAAAAGCCTTTCTGGTACAGTTAGGGAGTGGCTTGGTTGTGTCGATTGCCTGCTAATGTGTCTCTTGATTGCTGTGTGATAGCCCAGCACTGACTGCTATGCTTTTAAGAAACTAGTTTGATTCACACAGGACAGCAAACTGCAATGGTTGTGGTCAGTGTAGAAGGCAGCTTGTTTCGGCAGATCTTATTCCATGATATTTTCACTGTGGATGAAACAGTTGGTCTCATGTTGGGGTGGATGCTCAAGATGAATGGCAGGAATCTCTGCAGGCTGCTGCAGCATCTTTGGGGCTGCCATCAGCAGGAAGGTGTCTGACAGCCGAGGCCAGCCTGGTTCTCTCCAGCACTCCTCTGTCACTGGGTTTGATCATTCCAGTTTTCGGCTGAAAGTGGCTGTTTGCATTTGCATTGTTCTGCTCTTTGCATTTCCAACGTGCACCGGGAGCTGATGCTGAACAAGCTCATCTGCTCACCCTGCATGATGGTGTCTGTCTGGCCAGAGCTCCCTGGTGCTGTGCCCAGCCACTCCCAGCCCCGCTGATAAACTGCTGCCTTTTGGAATTTCGGAGCTGGAGGACAGAGAGGTATCAGGGACACGGCAGCAGCTCTGAGAGCTGTTGGTGAGCAGGGGTGCTGCATCAAGTTAGATCTTGTCTGTTAGTACCACTCAGCTCAAGTTTTACCCATTGGCCAGTCTAAGGACAGCAATTTCATTCCTGAAACAATGTTGGTTTTGACTTTGGACTGTTGCCAGTGTGGTTTGTGGATCTTGGCGAGGACAAAAGCCATGGGACAGTGAAAGCAAAGTCAGTTCCTCTTCTTGGCCATAGAAGCAGGTGCAGCATCACAGGGCCACCCCAAAGACTGGTGACACCCTTCTGGGCAGTACTGATTCTACCTGGGGTGAAATGAAGCCCTGCAGGTGAGTTGGATCGTGTCACCTGTGGCCAGATGTATTAGAGTTTGTGTTTGTTCACTGTCAGCCCTGCTTTGCCTTCTGGGGGAGGCTGCTGCAGTTGGGTTTAAGTTACTCTCAAAGAATGCGTCACAAATATAGGTATAGAGCGTGAGAAAGGGCTCAGGAGATAAATCAGGCTCTCAGCCCCCTTCCCTGGTACTCTGTGTTCCCACAGAGGGGCAGATATCGTGGTTAGCACGAGAAGGTGATGGGTTATCTCTCCCTCCCCTGCCCTGAGTCCTCTCTGCCGTGCAGACCCCATTGCCGCCTCCCCTCTCTGCGAGACCCACACGTTGGTGTCACCTTTGCATGCTGGGTGAGGACTCCATGGGCTGCTGGTTCACATCCTGCTGATGCTGAGTGAACATTCGAGCTGATTAAAACTATAAGTGGCATCAGGGGAGGGATTAAAAGCTCTTGAACAAGCCCCTGCAACAACGTGCGTCAGTGGGGTGAGCTCTCCTGTCTCAGAGCTGTGAGCTCAGGGCTACTCAAGCATGAGCCCTCCCTGAAAATGCTCCTACTCCAGGGAACCACAAACAGAAACACTGCCCTACTTCCTAATGAAGCTGCATCACAGGAGAAATCTTCCAGAGAAAGCCTTGTGTCTTTGCCCCTGACTTGATGTCTGGGTGCCTCCTTCCTCCTCAAAACAGTAGTGCTTTCTGATGGCAGCCTGCAAAAGTGGCATCTCTTGGTTGACCTCACCTGAAAAGTAGTGTGCCCATGACCCTGCCTTCTACTCTGAGCAGCCTCTCCCTTTGGAAATGTGTTCCTCAGGCACGGATTTAATGAGATTTTCTAGGGCTAAGGGATTGGAGTAATTTGCTGGGCAGTGGCATTTTTTCTGCAGTAGGTCTCTCCTGCTGCTCCCTCAGTGTCTCTACAGAGTCTGTGGGGTCCTCCCTGGTGGGGGAGGACCTGCCCCTGCTGAAGGGGGGAGTTAAATCCAGCCCCCTATTTTTTTCCATATAACTGAGCTCAGAGCTCAAGTTTGGGGAAAAATTAAACTGGCTACTACAAGGACCATGGGGGAATGCTGAATGTCAAGGCTTTGGCCAGAGCAGGGATTGGGGCAGCAGATACCTGCCTGTTCTTCCCTAAAATTCCTGGTGCTGAGCATCCTTGTGGACTGAGCTGTGAGCTCATCCTACTCTTCTTCCAGCTATACCAACCTGTATTTTAGCCACCTCTTGCAGAGCCACTTGAGATGCCTGAGCTGCTGCTGACGCACCAGGCGAGCGGTGCAGGCCATCTCCAGGGTCACAGCTTGTTCCACCTTTCCTGGTGGAGCACAGGGGCCGGCACTCATGAATGTATTATGTGGATGCTTGAGGCCGGGCTCTGCCATGGTAACACTTGTCCTTGTTCCAGCAGGGCTGTCACTGCAGGGAGCTCTGTGGGATGGGGTGATGCTCAGCCCCCAGTCAGCCCACCCCAGCTCAGTCCCTGTGCTGGGGCTGCTGGATGTGTGCTGACCTTGGCAGTGTGCTCCATGCACTGCTGAGTCCCTCTGGGAAAGAACTGACTGTAAACTGAGCCCAGTTCCTGTCTGGATCGATAGCAAAAGCACTGTGAAGTGGAGAGATGTGGCAGCACCCGTTTTGGACTAACTGGGGTCAGTGGGCAGGCAATGGGAGTGGTGTCCTACACCCTTTCCATCCAGCAGCCACAATGGAGTCACAGTGTAGTAACTGGAACAAATCACTGACAAACCTGACCTGTCTTTCTCCTCTCTTGTTTTCTCTTGCAGGTTTATTTACCAGGGACCCATAATCTCCGTTATTTACGTGTAACGAGGAAGTCAAAGATAAGGGAAGATGATAATACAGAAGATCTCTGGCAATGTGAAATCTTTGGGTGTTACTTTATTGTGTCGGGAAGGGGTGTTGTGGGGGTGTGGGAGGGGGCTGCAGGGGCCTGTGGAAGAGCACAAGCTGGCAGCTGTCACACTGATGAGACCTTTAAACAAGATCCAGAGAGTGGAGCTGCCCTTGCCCAGCCCTCCCCGTGCCCCCTGTGCTGCCGTTTGACTCAGTAGATGTTTCTAGAGATGTGGTTCCATAAGGAGGCGGCCTGGCACTGAGGTGTGCTGCCAGGCACCAGCTCTGAGTCCAGCTGGGCACAATTTTGGGTTGAAAGCTCTTGATTTAGCCTAAGGAAAATGGAAGCAAAGTGATGGCGAGGTTCGCACTGGGAGTGCAGTGCTTTAGGAAGAACGAGTCTCTCGGATCACATGTTGCAAGCAGCTAAACAATAATAATTTCATAGCCAGGCAGCTCCTGAATAGGGGGGGTGCTGCCCAGGCTGTGAGCAGTTGACATTAGGATAGAGTAGGATAAACAAGCTGGAAAGCCATTTGGCAAGGCATATCTGCTGCTGTGGTGGGCAGACTTCCGCTCTCCCTGAGCTGGATTTCATTATGATGTTTGATACTCTCTGCACAGAGGTAACTGTGGAGCTGCTGAGTATGTTTTCAGGTGGAAATCATCTGCATACAAGAGAAACACAAAGCAGTCCACTGCTCTGATCCATTTAATACTGAGCTCTAGTTGTTAGGAACAATGCTGGGGAGAGGAGGAGGTTTGGCCTAAGTGGCTTATGGGCTGGATTCTTGCCTCTGATGGGACACTTTTCCCTGCTAGCTAATGATCTCTGGGAAGCAAAAGGCAGTGCTGCTGCTCAGGGTGGGGTACAGTACAGTACAGCTCAGGTAAGGAGATTGGAACCTCAGGCTGAGCAGTTAATACTCTATTTCCTTGTCTGCAGTTAAACTGTTCTGGGGCTGCCCCCGTGTTGATGATCTTTAGACTTTGCTCACTGTAAATGCAATGTAAAGCACCACCTCTTCTCCACCCTGCAGCTTCTGAACCACCTAAAACGTTTCTCAGCAGGTTAAATCACCCAGCAGTGGGTTGGGGAGCAGGGCTGGTCTGACCCAGCATGGCTCCCAAGCTGCTGGGGTGCTCAGCCTGGAGCTGGCCATGGCCATGGGCAGGAGGGGATCACCCCTCACCCCTGGCTGTGGGAACTGCTCTTTGCCTGTGTGCAGGCTGCAGCTTTCCTGGGTCATCACTGGAAGGTTCCTAACTGGCAGCACGTCTGTGTGTCTCCTCAGTGTGCTTTGCTGACCTCATGGGAATGAATGGAAATGGAGGAAATTCAGGTGGGCTAAGGCAGAGCTGCAGCAGGGAAAGGAGGGAGGGGCTTCTTTCTTCTCTTCCATCTATTCCAGGACACAAAGCTAAGGCTGTGACTGCAGGAAGGCCAAGTCCTTCTTAGGAGAACCAGGAGCTCTAGACCATCTGTCTGTGACTTGTGAAGGTTCAGACAGCACAGATTCAGCGCCAGGCCCTCGTTCTCACACCGCTTTTGTGTTTCTCCCTAGGGATGCTTCTGTGGGCTGCAGCCAGGTGGGATTCTCCTGCAGCTCTCTGTGTTGCATCCCTGAGGAGGGGGAGAGTGAACCCTGTAGCTCACGAGTGCAGTGTTAGTGCCCTGATCACTGGACCCATCCTTCCTCCACCTGGCAGAGCCTTTGCTCCTGACTGTTACAACTTCTAACCGAACCCTGGCCTGGACGGGTGCAGTAAGAGGGCTTTGTCCTCCCAGCCCTGCCCACGGGGCTTTCCTGCTGGAATGGCACCTCAGCAGGCATCTCATCGCAGTTGAAGGGAGCTTCCTAGCAGCAGGAATACCAAGCCTGAAAGGTAGGAGGTGAAGGTGGAAGGCAGTGAGTGAGGTTGTTCCCTGGGACTGTTGCCTCCAGCCAGCTGCCAGCTTCCTGCTCCTCTCTGGGGACAGGAATGAACCTGGCAGGCCCTGGGAGGGTCAGTCCTCTTGGTGCACTGCTGTTTCAGGCCATCTTCAAACCACACGTGTCCACCTCAGCTTTTGAATTGCAGATGTGTTTTTAAAGCAGCTTGATGTTAGTGAGCTAGACCGTAGTGCCTTACTTAGGATTTAGCAAACACTTTCCCAGGAGGAGTCCTAGGGCTGCTAGCCTTTGGCCAACGTGGATGTTTCCCTGATTAGTTTGTCCTTTTAAGAGCATTTCTCCCTGATGATTTTGCTGCTGTTTGTGCTCAACTCCCCAGACTATACAGGAACTTGCCTTGTGTTTACAGCTCCCCACATCTCTCCTCCCAGTTACTTCAGCTCAGACCAGCACTCCCTGTAGAACAAGGTGGGAACAGGGAACAGCTCAAACCTGCATGTGCTGTGGGATGGAGGATGTTTAGGCTTCTCCTGCCAGGTTGGTCTATCTGGCCTCACCTGCCTAAGCTCCTGCAGGCTGAACTTCCCCCTCCGCTGTGGATGTTCTCGGCATTAGGATGCACCGCTGGGAAAACCCGAGCTTAAGGAAGCAACACCAAGCCTGTGGCCCATTCCCCAGCCTGGCCAAGCTGGCTGTGTCTCCTGTGGCTGCAGTGAAGCTGGGCATCCAGGTGGGGGGTACCTGGTCAGTGTGGGGGGAGCCAAGGCCCCTGTTACAGAACCTTGTCACCCTCTGGGCTCGTGCCGGTGCCCACGCCGGGGGAGCGATTGTATGAAAACTGTTTACTTCTGACTTTGCTGTTTACAAGAGGGATGTGGGGTGGGTGGGGGGAACAAGCCAAGCCTCAGGAGGATTGGGAAACGTGTTATCTGCACCAGCCTGCAGCAAGGCTGACACCGCCGGCATCGAGCAGGTGTCACGGGGATTTCCCAGCCAACGTTGGTCCACGGGGAGGAAAGCAGAGGTGGCTCTAGCCTAGAGGGGTTAGATTAGCTCCCCCATCTCCCCTTGCTGCTGTGTTTAAGGTTCAGCAGTGCTAGTGACAGATAAGAGTTACCCCTGTGGTCTTCCTTTACTCCTCAGGACCCAGCTCCTTCACATATCACGGGCTCCCGGAGCCTTTCTGGAGCAATAAGATGTAAAACGAGCATTTACCATCGTCGTGGAAATCCTCCCTTGTGTGCAGTGTCTGTCTCCTCCGTATGCAGTATGAGTCTGGGTTTAAGCCTACCAAGCATCATGGGACAGCTGCTTCAGGGCACCAACTGGGATTCGTTTCCCTGGGCTTTCTGCCGGTCAGGAGAACAGGGAAACGCGGTGCTGCTTTCCTTCCTCGCCTCGGGCCTGTGCTGCCCGAGCCTCACACTCAGCTGTGCGGGGCGAGGGGGGCTCCTGGTCCCTGTTCTGGTGATGCTGACATGGGGTGGGTGAGTGGTGCTCAGTGCTGTGCTGGCTCAGCAGGCTTTGGGCTTTACTCCATCTTCACAGCCCTCCCCATCCCGTCAGCCGGGGCAGTGTTTGGAAAGCAGCAGGATGCGGCCGATGCTGCCATGGGGAGAGCTGTGCCAGCACCTCCTGTGCTGGTTACAGGCACATCCCACAGCGTGGCCCTTCATCTCCAAAAGGGTTTCACACTCCTGGGTGTCTGGGGTGGTGGGTGCAGCTGGGAGGGAAGCACAGGGAGCTGCTCTCTTCCAGCTGGGACCTGCCAAATTATTTCTCTGTAGCCTACCCGTAGTGCTTTTAGCTCTGAGGGTGTTTCACCCTCCAGTCTAGGCTGCTGGAAGAGCTCCTGGGTCACATAGAGGGGCTTGGTGTCCCCATCCTGGCACCTTTCCCCTCCCCAGCAGCTGCCCAGCCCACCATGGGCCTTCAGTTCGTTCACCCAGCGAATCACAGCAGCTTTGTAGGGGGGAGCAGCTTCACTGCCACACCACCAGGGTCACCCCAGGACAGGCACCCTGCCCTGGCCCTGCTGTGGGCTCCCCCTGGTCCCCATAGCCCGTGTGCTGACCTAGCAAGAGCAGAAGGCTTAAACCCAGACTCCAAACTAAAAATAATATTAGTAAATGGATCTGTATTTTTTTTCCCTTTTTTTTTTTTTTTTTTTTGCACAGAAGCTGGTAATCTAGGACCTATGTGTGAACAACTTTATATAAATATTTTTTGTACTTGGTTTACTCGGGTTGGTATGAGACGTTCTATTTAAGTTCTTTGAACACTGTGGATCCCCTGATGTGTATGAATGGCAGAGGCTTTGTAAATTAAGGGACGTTTGTGTGAATAAAGCTATTTGATGGGGTTGAAAAGCCACACACAACTTGAAACATGAGCTCTGTGTGTTTGTTCTCAGCTGTACTGGCAGCAGTGGGCAGACCAAGGCCCTGAAGAAGCTCTGACTCCATCCCAAAGGGCAGGTCCAGCTAACTCTGATCTGGGGTAGCTGGACTGACCCCAGGGCTTAGGGCACTAAACCAAGGCATGGTGACCAGTGCCAACCAGAGCATGGCTCTCGGGCATGCAGCACTTGAAGCCCTTTATCCTCGCCCTGGATTAGGATTAGCCCCGTTCTTGCTGCAGACACCCAAGTAGGCCACGGTGATTAGTGGGACAGGGAACCTCTGCCTGCACGAAAACACCTCCCTGTCCTGCCCCTTCCTTCCCGCCTGGCCACTTCCCCAGCAGCCCCTCGCCCAGTCAGCTGCCTGCTCTTGTGGTGGCTGCAAACCCACCAAGGAAAATGCCCAGCAGAACTGCTGCTTTATTAGCCACACTTTCTCCCTTTGCACAGATCCTCTGCCCCAAATCCCAGATGCACAGACCAAAACTGAGCTGGTCACTGCAGGTGGGTTTCCCCCATAGCCCCATTTCCAGCCAGGACTCCCAGTGCCGCAGATCGACACCCATGACGGGAAAAGCACCACAAGGCTGAGCCGCATCCTGCAGCCGTTTTCCTGTGGGTGATGCCCAGCAGGTGTTGGGCAGCTTGGGGCCAGCCTGGGTGGGACACGTGGTGGTGTCCCGTGGGACACACGGTGTGCCAGCACACGGGGCCATGCGGCACCGCTCGCCAGCCCTTGCGTAACGGCCCCGCAGCCTCGCGCGACCTGA